AAAACACCTCAGATTAAGGGATTTGTTTTATGAATTCAAAGATTAGAAATGCATGGCTTGTTCAGCCTAGCAGACTGAAGGCTGGCAAAGAGAAAGTCAGAGCCAGGATGATAAATTTCAGAGAAGTGCTATTCAGATGTATAACACTAGCAACAAAGACAAATGAATTACACATCTTTAACCAGTACTTACTGGAAATTAGTTTACATTCATCAGAGACACAAGTTTCTAGCACTGCAATGGTGGAGGGAGAGCAAAAATCCTTATTTTTAGGTTGGATCATGCTCAGCTCTGAGGTGAATTGCACAGCATGGAAAAGAGGCGGATTGGGTGAGTCAGGATGGGATTCTCCTGGTAGCCTGGTTCTATGACCCTGTTAAAGATGTGTGGTTAACTTCTGCCCATGTTGGAGCAGGCTGTGCACTAGAAAGGCTCCCCTACTTTTACAGAGATGAAAATCTCAAGAGCAATAACACCTAGAAAAGCACCTAGAAAAACCTTTGTGTGTGAGTCACAATAGGAACAAGGAGGGTCCCTATTATTCTCTGTTACTTGTTCCAATTTAAACAGCAAGCCCATAAAAGGTGCATGTGAAAAAAGCAATAAAATGATTAAGTAAATGTTTCACAGCAGTCATTGAAAAGTTCTAGTTAATTGTAAAGAGTTTGGATCAGATCAGAGAATTTTGTTTTCCCAATGATTAAAGAAGAAAGGAAACAGTGAGGTAAATAACCAGGTAGAAATAATGATGCACTTTAAATCTTCCACATGAATGAGCTGATCTGTTAATAGCTAATGCACTGTGCTGCTCCCCTCCCTTCCCATCCCGCTGTAATCAGCCTTTTGTCACATACCAGTGAAATCCATTAGCTGCAACTTCCTTATCAACTTCCAAGGCTTTCCAGCTACTAAGATATTTGCATATTTAACGATTCATTTGACTGGTATCAACTCTCATTTACCAAGTGCTTGAGAAGAAAAGCAAGGCATAGTGTGTAGAAGTTCTGTTTAAAAACAAAAAAGTACTGACAGCTCCTTTCAATAAACAGATTTATCTGAATTAATGGGTTGGAGTAGACTTGGTAAAAAAATCTGAGAAGTATCAACAACTTTTGGACCCATAGTTTAATTTAAAGATTGTGAATACAAGTGAAAGCTCTTCAGCATTTAAATCACCTTCTAATTTCACTTTATTTATTTCACTTTTCTCTGCACTGCTTGGACCAAATTTTCTTCACTTGTCCACTCCTGAATTATTTCAGCAGTGCTACTTTCTAGTACTTATGACATCACCACCACAACACCAACAGAAAAACAAAAATTCAGAAATCAAGAACAGGAGCAAGCTGATAGAGCCTTGGAAAGATCCTGTTTTGACACACATGTCCTGCCAGTTTTATTGGCAAAAGAGCTAATGGGGGAGTAATGTCTGACAGTCACACACCTGAATTTTGTATTGGGTCTTTAACATCCTACATTAACTGTATGGAAGACATGCTTCTGAAGAATGTGAAGTATATAAAAATGTAAAATACTGACTTCTCTGTAGCATTTTTTGATGACTTTCAATAGAAGTACATAGATTCACACACTTAAGACTTCTGCTACTTTGATAACTAACCTTGAAGAAAACAAAACTTATTTTTCTGCTTTAAAAAGGTTCAGGATGAATCTGTTACTCTCCAAGTGCGCAAAGTGACAAGAGGGGGATGGACAGCCTCACTCTCTGAATGCTTTGGTACACAGCCTCCTAATCATGGTTAAAGAAGCATTGCAGAATGCTGCAAAGAAATATCAAACAGCATCACCTCATGCTAACCTGAAACTGATTCAACTTGCTTTGGTTCTGCTCACCCCATATATGAGCTCCAGTTATATACAGTTTATGGACACTGGCCATTTGCAACATCTTTGCTGGGAATATGGCATATTAACTGTTAATAACAAGGGTTAACATGAGGATGATGATATTGCTGATTAACATATCTGGGAAGAAAGATTCAATGGCTTCTTATCAGGCAAAATGTTAATCAGAGGTATCTGTGACAAAGATATTCTTTATAAAGTTTAGCTAAGCATACTCATACAGTCCAGTAATTAGGCCTTCATTAAATTAATCTGAACCTCTTAGAATGTTGATTTTGAGCAAGCTTCACACCAGAAATAGTAGAAATATACTTTTCAGAAATGTAACTGACTTCCTCTTCAACACCATTCACTTAAGATGATAAATTATTTGCATTAAATGCATTATTTATTACAGCTTCAACATGCCTTTATCAATGTTGTTTAGACAACTTATATTTACATTACTGGGCAATTATGAACAAAAAGACAGCTCAGAACATTATATTCTCTGGTGCACACAGGGCAAAATATAAACAATAACTGCTACCTCAGGTTAAGCTATATAACAAAAACAAGCTAATAGACAACAATGTATTTTATTTCTGGCAGCACTGAAGGTATTTTATGCACTGTACACAGGGAGAATAACAAATATGAACATTCAGACTATCATAGCACAACTTAGTGGAAGAGTTAATGCTTGAGAGTACCAGAATCAGGAACTAAAATTCATTGATGATGCTGACTTGAAAGGCCCATGAATAGCATTCAGTAGCTCAGCTCAGTTATTGTAGAGGTAAATGGAAGATTTATTTTGAAAGTTGAAAATTCCATCCTGTATTAATTAAGCATTAAGGCTAAGTTGCATGACTAAACTGCTGAATGGTTCAGAGAAGAAAACCAGGACTTTTCTAGTCCATGTTTCTCACTGCACAGTAACTCCACAGTCCCACATGAAATGATGGAGCTGCAGGCTGTAAGCAAGCACACAGAAACATGTGAACTGTGTGCTGGAATCCACCATGTGTTCACCAGGCCAGATGCATCAAGGAAACTCAGAGGAAAACTAGAGAGTTTCACATGACAAAAAGGGTTTCAGCAGTCCAAACCACAGACTGCCACAGGACATGGGAACTTGGGTTGTGCACATTCAGCTGTCCTAAATACCTGTCACAGGATAAACTGAACCTTCAGCGAGGACAGACCCCATCTTAGCAAGGTGTGCTGCAGGGCTGACCAGAATACTGTGAAATCCTCAACAAAGACCTCAACAAGCGTTAAATATTTATATAGCACAAGAGAAGTCCTCAAGTTTTGGGCTCTGTGACAAAAACCCACAGTTCTTGTAGCTCCCCTCATCCCCAGACTAGTTTGTTTATCACTCTGATGACAAAGCAATTCATGTGTGTACCTGCCTCAAGAAGAACAAGTCCAAGTCATGTCACAAACCACCCAATAATTAATGTGAATTTTACACACTTCTCATACAAATGTTTCCAGGGCTGGTAGAAAGAACAGAGATATGATTTGCCTTCCTGTTCCTGTACATATGAAGTTTTATCACCTCCTCTGAGAAGTAATAGTGAAAACAGCAATTTACAGGGCAGAATATCTTGTTATCTGCCTATAAAAGACACCAAAGAAAAGAAATTTATCTTGCCTGAAAATATATACAGATCTTTCCTTAACATCTCAGTTTCTGCAGAAAATATCCCTTTTGACTATTCAGTGCACCAAACTCAGTGAGGTAAAACACAGGCAAAGCTGCCAGTGAGCAAAAGGAAAAAGAGCTGAAGTTTCACTTAGAAATAAGGGCACAGGTCTCTGAATGAATGCCTGTGGAAGAAACACTTTCTACATACAAGAGAGAAGAGGATTGGAAAACAGTGAGGCAGACCATCCTGAATCAACATATTCAGTGCAAGAATAACAAAGCATCTGTCTTTTTTAAAAGAAAAGTTTTTTTCAACGTCCAGTAAGTCCATGGTCCCAGGGGTCCCGAGAAAGCTTTGCTGGTGTGTATCAATATATAGAATATGGTCAAAACAGTTTGTGCGTAAACACAGCTACATCAGTGAATTACAATTTGTTCTAGTAAAATAGAACTCTTCCCACACAGTTATTGTGAGGTAGTAGCTGATGTTACAGCCACTCTCACAGTACTCTTTATCCCAGTTTATACAGCTATATTTGTATGTAGCCCATATGTTGCTTTAGCATCCCTGCTATAAACAGTGCACCCCTTGCATGCCACTTACAAATTGCTACAGACCAACTTCCCACTTCTACCCCTTCCAGTGTGCTGACTTACATACAAATCCATCAGTAAGACAAACACAAAAGAAAATGTATATCTTCCTTGAAATTCTTGAAGAGCTTTAGCCTATATTCCCTGCCCTCCAGAAAGCCCCAGCTCTCAGCAGCTTGCACCACACCACACCAGCTGTGCCAGCAAATCCTGAAGCACCAAGACTTCCTGTGTGACCAGGGATTTACCAAACACCACCATCCACCTGCAAAAGCCTCTCCATTATATGCTAAAGCTCTTGCCTTTATAAAACATGAAGGTAGAGCTTGGTCTCCTCCCTTTCTCTCTACCATGAGCTGCCAGGACCCAAGGCCTCACTGAGGGGTGACAATTGGATAACAGGAAAGAAGCAGCATTCCATTTAGGGATGCACAGGGGCTCCAGTAATCTGTCTTGCTCTACCACAAAAATACCCATGGGCTTGGTTGCCCAAAAGCAAGGCTCTGTTTATCTGAGTAGTGCTTTTCCAGTTCTTATCCACTTCAGATCAGTGCAATCCTGTCCAGCTCCTGCAAGTGAAAGCTCTCCAAGAGCTCTCCTAAATTAGTTATCTCCTTACCTGGCAAGTGTTTGTATTTTACCAGCCTGATTAACAGCATATGATTTTACACTTCTGTAAGAGCAACATCTTTTGGTCATCTCAGAATGAAGTGTATGTATAGATATATACATCATGATACATTTTGATGGCCGTCCTGGGAGGCAGCTCATTTCAAATATTGACCAGAAAAATCTTCTTCATTATTTATGCATTGTGAAAACCATCCAAACTTGCATCTTAAACATAATATCTCATAGGTGCAAGATTACCCAGTAAAAGCTATATTAATATCATGATACTTACAAAAAGCAAAAGCAGAAGTGGAGTTATAACAATGCCCTGGAAGAAACAACCAAAAACAGTCTGTTAGTCAAGGAGGCAGAAAAATCTTTACTTTCTTAGCTTAGTACATGGAAATACACAAACATCATTTAACATCATAGAAATTAAGTAACAAACTCAACTTTGCTCTTCACTGAGCATGTTCTTTAACATTCATGCAGCAATCATTTTATAAACTACTACACTCAGTACCTTTTTTTTACCTTTTTGCATCTAAGTCCCTCTGTTCTAAAATATACAGATATATATTCTGATATACAGAATATGGATCATTTATTTAAAAAAAAACATATTAAAGCTCTCCCCTCAGTGTGCTGTATCTTAACTTCACTAAGCAGCTCCTCTTTAGGGAAAGACTTGATCTAGTCCCCTGGCACCCAGTCCCAGGTCCTCTTCTGAGCAGAAGCTGCCTCAACTGTGATGAATTAGGTGTCGTGACTGTGTAATGTAAGCAGATATTCCCCAAGGAAATGAGCTGAGATCTCAAAACTCATTTCACTTGATTAGACTTCATGTCTCACTGGTAGAAGGCAAGTCTTTCATCTAATTTAATCACACAGGACCACCTCAGCTTTCCACATCCCCCAGGCAGATGCAAGCAAAAAGATTTGTTGTCTTCACTGACAAGGAACAGGTTTAAAGCTGATGATTGGACAAAATAGAGGATTTTAAGTTTCATGAAAGCAAATCTTAGAATGAGTTGTTTGGGTTGGGAGTTAACATGACATGCATCACTTTCATAGCTGCAAACAGCAATTCCCCATCATCCTTCCATCTGACTTCAATATTTTATTATTGCTCAATAAAATGATTCCATCATTTAATGCATGCTAATTCATAGAGCTGGCTCAGAACTTCTCTAGGCCAGGACTATTCTTCATCCAGATAGGTCACAAGAACAGCTGGTTTTTCAGCTATTCACAAACTTTATTTAAAAAAAAAAATTGGACAAAGGTCCAAAACACACTCACATTTATCTGAAAGGGTGCTTATTTTATTTTTTTATTTAGCTACACGTGAAAACAACTGAAAAAAAAAACCTTTTGTCTGCTACTTTTCACTTAACCTTGAGTAACATGGCTTTACTTCAATCTCTTGGAAGAAAATATAAAGAAAAGCCTGAAACAATTAGTTTTGTATTTGTTTTCTGGATCCACAAAAAATCACAGATTCAGAGAGACTATCAGCCACAGAGAGTTCCTATTGTGTTCCTAAAACAAAATGCAATAAATAAATGCCACAAATTATAGCAGACAGGAAGGATCAAGGACGCAACAGTTAAGCTGTGCAACTTGAAGCCTCTGCAGAATTTAAAAACATATTTCAAAATAAATAATATATGCCATATCTGACTGCCCCACAGCCCAGATATCCATAATAATTTATCTTTTTGCAAATGTCACAATTGAGATAGATCATAAAAGACTGAAAAGAGAGCTAGAAGCAGGAAGAATTGCTTCAGGGAGTCACTCACAATTTACAGGAGGTTTAGACCAAAATGCAGATAACAGATATGAAGAAATATAGGTGTTCAAGTACAGCAGCTGGAGAGGAAGAAACAAAAGTTGGGGAAGGGAGGAGGCATCAAGGGCTGAACTGACACTTGCATACAGCAGAATCTGTGAGGAAGAGCTGACTGCAAGATCTGTGTAGTGCAAGGACAACACAGTCACTGCATCAGGGACCAAGGCCCAGCTTTTAGGGGTGGCTGCTATTCTCATATATATATATATATGTATATATATACATGACCCACACCTTGCCCTTCTCCCCCTTTTCCCGCTTTCAGCCACACTGCACACCTCAAATGCTACCAGACATCACCAAGTGCCTGAGTGTTCCCTCAGCCTCCCCTGATTTTGGGATGGCAGAACACCACTGCAGCAGGGTTCCACCTCCAGGCTTTCGCACAAGTGAGGAGGAGCATGGATGGAGCAGGAAGTGATCCGAAAGCATCCTGTACTCCTCCTGAGCACGGAGTGCAGGGAGGAGAGCACAGTGCCAGCTTGAGAGCACAGCCAGCTCTCCTCTGAACCTGAACAAACTCATTGATTCAGCACCATTAGCTATTTCTTATGTGCTTCGTGCCTCAGCAGGGTTTTTTAGAAGTTACCAAAAAAAAAAGGCAAAGGTAAAAAACCACACCAAACCAACCTTTCTCTCTATCTTGTTGATAAATCAAGATTGTGTCCTTCCTCCTTGGGATGGGAGCTGCGACTTGCTATTGAATTACTTCAGAAGCTTGCTGATATTAACACAGTGGGCAACAGCCACAGCTAATTCAAAGCCACAAAAGGAAACTGCACTTCTGTGACAGTAACACTTCTTGTAATTCTGTAAGTGGGGAGCAAGAGAATCCTCCTATACATCATAAAGAGATTCCTGAATGAGCATGCTGCAAATCTAGCATTCAAAAGGTCAATTTTAGCAATTTGTTATTAAATTTTGCTATTTAACCTGGTGATCTTAATAATCAGAAGTGGATTTCCTGTTGCCTCACCACAGAAAGGATTTACAAGGTTGAACTTTTCCATTTGCAACACACACACGATTCCCTGGGAAGCTAAACAATTACCTGACAGAACAGACAAGTTCATATTAAAAAATAGATGCTGTTGCTGAATCAGAGTAATTTGATGTTAATGTTTTATTTTGATAAGGAGTGCCAGTTTGAAAAACCACAGGGTTTACATTAAAAACAAAGGGTTTTTTCCTTCAGTCAGTAGTGCAGTGGTGGCTGATGGTTTACAGGGGCAAGCAAAGCATGATTTATTCAGGGAGGGAACCTCTGTTACCCAACCAACTGATGGAGCTGCTGAAGAACAGACTTTGGGGATGTAAAGCCCACCTATAGGTTAACCTGGAAACACTGATGTGCTTTTATGAGCTGGAGCCCTCCTCTTCAGGTTCCTGCCCCAGATATGAAGGGCTTATGTGACCATGGTGTATGTGTCTAACAAAGGGCATTACCTTTCCCTGCACACAGCACCTTGCCTTGACACATTACCTCCTCATTAGGAACATGCTCCTCAATGTGCTCTGAGCATTATGTGATGCATCTCAATTCATATCCACTAAAGAATAATAAATAGAGCACTTTGAGTCTAAAGCCTACTGACAGAAAATGCAGGAGACAATTTACATTTTGGAGGTAAAGCCCAAAGTCTGATTCACTAAGAATAAAGAAAATGTGGAAGCAAACAGTTACTCCAGAGCCCAGCTCATTCTCCAGCAGAGGTTTCACAAAGATGAGAATATTCTGACACTGACACTGTAGCTGCTTTCTAAGATTGCAACTGGCTGAGAAGCACAAAGGAAGCTAAAAATCAAAATAAAGATGACCATTTCTAAGTCCATTGGAAACTGAGACCATCAGAGAGGAAAATGGAACTAAATTTGACAGTACTTTTCCCTGCCTTGCTTTCCAGGCAAGTGCTGTCAAATACATAGTGTATGGAGATAAACAGATTGTAGATTAGCACTTCAGCAAAAGCTGAGCATCTGCCCTTGAGAATGCAAGGTCATTACACAGTTTTAGCATCTTCAAAGTTCGGGTGGAGTGTTAGGCTTCCCAACTGCTGCCCACAATGGAGTCAAAGTTGTAAAGTGACTGCTGTTTGCTATCTGCAGAAAAACTTTCAAGAAATCCATTTACACCTCTGATGTGAAAGACTGACTGAATATATTTCAATGATTTTAGTGGAAAGGGCAGGAAAAAAAATCTCAGCCTGACATGAGACACTGATACAACATAGGAGTCCGAAGACTTGGAAACATCTCCCCACAGTAAAGATCATGAAATGGATTTTATTCCAGAGAGTTTAAATTCAGGTTTGTGTGTGCAAGCATGTACATAAACATACATGTAAACAGCAAGGATGTACTTGGAGATCCATTTAATTGTTATTTGCTTTGATTAGATAAAGTTGCTAAGAGGTTTTCTATAGGTTTCATCCAGTACAGCATTGCTGCAGAGCAGGCATTAAGAGGCGTTTATCCTCCAGAAGAATATATAAAATCAATACATGGAATTGGCTGCCAAATCAGGGAAGGGAAGCCACCTAATGAATGTGAAACTATGGTGGCAAATCATTAAGAATGAAATTATGCAAATAGGAAGAAGGAGGTGGGCACAGATCCAGAGGGACACATGGTAGAAGACAAGTAGGGATTGTTGTAATGAGGCATGAAATACATGTGAACTTTCCTTGGTTTCCTTTAGCCACAAATTTCCCATGCAATTTTTCATCATTCTTACAGGTCATCAGTACAACACACATGTGGCAACTGCTTCGAGAAAAGCCTTAACCAAAGTCGTGTCTGATTTGCCTAAAGAACCCAGGCTGGAAAGGAAAAATGGAGTTTGTATCAAAGCTCTGAACAACTGTGTATTTTCTGAAATCTATTTCCTACTTATGCTTAATGCTACAGAGGTTCCTAAATGCTCCATCAAGCAGGACACAAAAGAAGCAGAAGTGTAAGCAGTGTTACATAAAAACTTACAGGGCAGCATTTCCGTGCTACTGATGGGGTGAGGTGTGAGAGAAAAGCTTATGAACACTGGATAATTTCATCGGAAGACAAGCATAAATGAGAAATGAAACTCAGTCTTCTTCTGTGTGCTGCAGTATTTCTCAAATTTAAGTATTTATTTCAAGAGTTGCTGACGCTTTTAGAAAAAACAAAATCAGTCAAAATAAAGATGAGCTCAGTTGGACAGAATATGGAGTTAATAACATCAAAAAAACCCAGCCTGCACACGCCACCTCACCACCCAACAAACAAATTAAAAAAACTTCCAAACATAAAACTGTAGTTTTTATGGTTACAATGAGAGTGAAACTTTATGTCAACATATGTGTTATTTGTATTTCTTATGTCTTTTTTTTCCCCTTGATTTTGTGTGTAGAAGTGTGTTTTCAAATGTTTTTCCTTTATTTTTAACAAGTTTGCAGACAACTTTATAATGTTTTAAATTTTAAAAAGAGAACCCTGCC